TGATCATTAATAAAATATTGTACGAAGTGACATCAATCAGCGTACCTTTAAAGTAATTTAACTTGAATACCAAAGGCAATGGGCGTTAAATTGATTTGTGCATATTGCAGCGATACCAGCGCCCCGTTATAATTGACGGCAAATAGCCGAACTAATTGGGTTTGCTGTGCACTGAATTATTATGTTTTAGAGGTATGAGGAACAGGGTGGTAAGTTCCTCATCCTCCATTGAAAAGGGAGGATCCTCCGACCAGGCGAGGTGTTCGTGCCTGGTGGGCTACTGCCCGACGGTTGTTGTCGGATTATCTGTATGGGTGCTAATTATGTGGAAAACTCTTATAGCGCGATGTAGAATCTTGCACGTGATTGGTGCTGTTGTTTATGTAGGGCGCTAGATGTCGCTACATCACTCCCCTCCGAGACCGGAGGTCGTTAGCTGGTTGAGACGTCTGTGAGATGCTTGTCGAGCCAGTTGATGGTTTCAGTGCGTCGAATCTGTCTGCGAAGATGCCCCAGTGAGTCGGGTGGTGCAGTGCTGAAGAGTGGCTAGCTGCTGCGTCGACCAGGAGAGGGAGTACGTCTCTGCTTGCTGACCGGCCGGTGCAGAATGCTGTGCCGAAGTTACTGATGAGGCTGTAGGTGCTGACCAGGAATGCGCGTCGGCTGCATGCTGGTGGTCAGGGAACCCGTTGTAGCCGTGGATGCTGGCTGACTGTAGACTCGCTGCTTGAAAGCTCGAGGAAGTGATGACGTCATGGCTATGATGTAGTTGCACGAAGGCTGCGTTGATGTTCATGTTCGGGGTCACCAGTTTAGATGTATGAGGAACAGGGTGGTAAGTTCCTCATCCTCCATTGAAAAGGGAGGATCCTCCGACCAGGCGAGGTGTTCGTGCCTGGTGGGCTACTGCCCGACGGTTGTTGTCGGATTATCTGTATGGGTGCTAATTATGTGGAAAACTCTTATAGCGCGATGTAGAATCTTGCACGTGATTGGTGCTGTTGTTTATGTAGGGCGCTAGATGTCGCTACAATGTAATAGCACCCTTCATGTTATCGATAGAAATTTATAGAGGACTGACTTTTGAAGATTGCGGTAAGTGGTTCGTTGTAAGTGCAGTTTTAGCACTTGGTGTCAGCTAGTTTACGATCCAGGGTTGCTGGTGTAAGTTTAGTAGTTTTTAGTCAGTACAATATACTGACTAAAAACCACTACAATATGCTGACTAAAATGTGTGTGTTTTTTATGGTATAAGTTAGCAAACGAGCAGACTGATTACCTCGCAACACCAAAGGAGTTACAAGCGCGTTGCCGGCCTTTTAGGGATAAGGGTTTTTGATTGACCTGAAGGTAACCTCACTTACACGGCGAAACACAACGCTTTCTGTGAGGCCGTGGTATCAATCCGGTCGAGCCGACCCATTTGTGCCGAATATGGGTCTCCCACACTTGGTATGGCTCTCCCACATACGTGACGAGTGTATTTCTGCGCAATAGGTTTTTGTATTTTGTACAAAGCAAACTTATTTTTTTTCATTACTCGTGACTCAGCATATCGAAAATTGTAAGGTGGTTTATGTTCCATTATTGAGTTGTATGAAGCATAGGGAGACTACAGTGTTGTAATTATCTAGTTATCAAATCAACAATCAAATATTTCATGTCATGAATCGAGTAAACAGATTTCAAAGAGCCATTAGAGCCACCGTGCAGTCAAAGTTGCAAACATGATCCGAGTATCATTTTGAATCTGGTAGAGATTCAAAATAATACTCGGATCATGTCCAGTAAACAATCCCTGTACCTACACATGTATCTGTGTAACAATATTAACAGCGAAGCCAAACCTATTATCAAAGCGATCTTGATACTTGCATTAATTACGTTAGGAATGCCACAACCTCTAACAGATTACACCTGGCACGTTCCAATCGCATTGTTCCAGAAATTACATATCTATTGGGCAGCGAGAATCGAATGCTCAATAATTTAGTCACAGGTAGATAAAGCTAACATAATAGTCAAGTAATATTTCGTGCACAAAACTTTAAACGATTCCTACTTACATTTTGACAAAGTTTTTTATTGACATCATGTGTATTTTAGTCATATTTAGATTGATGTGCATTAGTGATAGTTTCTTTAATTTTATTTCAAGTTTATTTTCCTTTTTTTGGAACGTAGGTTGTAGTGCGACATCGTCGCCGTAACGTGCTCCATGCTGAATAAGGACTAAGGAGTATTCACACATCTCGTTATTTCATGTTTTAGGATCGAGCCTCTTGCCCTAATAATATGGGATAGGTCGGCAAACGAGCAGATGGATGACCTGAAGCAATCGGCGCCGCTCATAGACACTCGTCATACCTAAGGAGTTACTACAAGTACATTGCCGGCCTCTTGTGGCTCGTTAGGGATTTGGGGATAGATGAGGGGGTGGGGGGGGAGGATTGGGCCTCCGGTAACTTAACTCACACGGTGAAACATAACGTAAGTATTGCTTCCGTGCGTAGGACGCGTAGCGTTCCGCGCGCGTCTTATAGAGTCAATAGACCACCACGAATGGGGTTTTATAGGGGTGACATTCAGCCGAGGTTGCAGGACAAGCGCAATAGGGCACCGCGTCCTCATTTTACCCTGGGTGGGAAAAGCCATTTGACAATACCACTGATAAAAAAAACTGTTGCTACGGGGCTCCCGTTTTCTGTAAGGCAGTGGTATCATTTCGGTCCGGCCCATTCGTGCCGAAGTATGGATCGTCAACAATTTCAAAAAGTTTAGTGTTTAATTTTGGTACCTAAACATTTATTATTATATAACAATGACAAAGCAAAATTAACTCGATTTCATTTGATCTTCGACATTTAATTTGATATGAAATAAAAATATTTAATTGACCTCTTATTTTGGTTATCAGTTTGACACGAAATTATACCACATAAACTTTGATTTTTTATTATTTATCTATATTGGCAACATTTGAAGAATTTGTGTTTTAGATGTATTGTGCTAATTAATAAAAGAAGAAATTAATTACCTACTAACGACGATAACCTTTTTCAAAAGATTGGTCATATAATAGTTACAAATAAATAAACAATTAGTGTAGCTTTTTTTTAATATATGTACTACATATGTTTTCCCTTTTTTATTTCAATGTGCGCTGTACCTACACTTTTTTTGAAATCAAATATTATTTTGAAGTTGCACCGCACCGCACATGTAACACTTACCCAGGATTGTTACTAGCTTTTTCCCGCGACTTTGTTCGCGTGGAATAGTGTCTTCCTGCAGATTTTTGGTTTAAAAACTATCGTATGTCCTTTCTCGATTTCCAAACTATGTCTGTACCAAATTTCACTCAAATAGGTTCAGAAGTTTGGGTGCGAAGAAAAGACAGACAGACAGAGTTACTTTCCCATTAAAATATTAGTTTGGATTTTGTGAAAACTTTCCGAGTTTTAATTCTAAATCCATGTGTTTTCAGTTCTTTGTAAGTAAACTCACAAAGCCTGAAATACATTAAATTGAAGGCAGTCAGCAGATATGTCCACTGATGAGCTAAGCCTGTTTTCACAAGGTTTGGGCATTAATCGCATTTTCTTTTGCGATGTCTAAATGCTACAATGTCACATTACTACTTACCAGGCATTGTGGATGCTGGATGCCAGTCTTACTGGTGGAGATTTGGGGATCAGGGATAAAGGGAAATAGGGGATTGTTCTATCTGCAATCTCCTTTACACAGTGAAACAACGCAAGCTGTTTCACGCTGGTATTTTTGCGAGACTTTGGTATCACTGCCCTTTAGCTTCTGAGCTTAATCAGTGGAAAGAAACAAACAAGAGCCATCAACATTCATCATCATCAGCCTATAAGTGCCCATTGCTGAGCAAAATTCTCTTCTCACACGGAGAAGTTTAGAGCATTAATCACCACGCTTGCTCAATGCGGGTTGGCGACTTCAAACTTATAATTGGAAATTAAAAGGCCAGGTTTCCTCACGATGATTACCTTCACCGTTTGTCAGTGGTGTCTAATAATCATAGAAAGTACATATAACTCGGAAAAAGTCACATTGGTACTTGCCAGGTTTCGAACCCACACCCTCATGCATGAGAAGCGGGCTCCTTAACCTCCGGGCCACCACCACGCCATCAACATTACTTATGTAATTTAATTTTATCTCCGAGTCATATTATTTAATAATTGTGATGTAACTTATAGTAGTTATATTTGGCAGTCCAACGTTAATATTGTAACCATTGGGACAATGATCACAGTCATATCATGTGTAGTAATACTGTTTTTATTTATATGGTTTTTATTAAAATGGAGGAATGTGAAAAAGTTTTGGAGCGAAAGAGGAGTTCCTCATTACACACCGCACCCTATTTTGGGTAGTCTTACATTTTTGCAGCGACAGAATCCTGTAAGATTTTTTTTTATTAGACATGTGGTTGGTTGGTAGTGGTTTAGTGTGTGACTAAAAAGTTTTTTTTTAATAATGCAACGATTTTGACGATGATCCAGTTATCATAGCATTGTCCTAAAGTAGGACAGAAAGAAAGTTTAAAATAAGCTTGAAATTAATTAATTTTCTTTTGACTTGTTATATCGATAATTTTTATTTTCATGTCAGCATATTTAATTGTAATGCATTTTATTCAATGTATTTTCAAATATATTTGAGGTTTAGGAAACCCACTATAGCATAGTCTTTTAGATAAAGAAAATCATTTCAGATTTGAGATTATGATTTTTTTGTGAATACATAATTATTAACAATAATATGTCTAAGCGAATGTGGGTATGCAAATTTTTGAGAAGTCTGTAAACTTAAATATCTCCTTACGTTTGACTTTAAGTATTATCGAAAAATGAGAAAAAACCGTAAACATTTCCAACCTAGTCATATTTTTTTCCGACAATAGTTTTGGACTTACATATGCAGATTTATTATTGAAGGTCTATAATGAAGTTTCTTTTCAGGCAGTATGGATGAGACAAGTGTACAACGAGTTCAAGTCACCTTACGTTGGAATGTGGGCATTCTGGAGACCAGGACTGGTGATCAACTGCCCAGAGTTAGCCAGAAAGGTGCTTGTAAAAGACCATGAAGTGTTCAAGAACAGGTTCCTGAGTTCCGGCAAAACAGACCCCATCGGGGGTCTTAATCTGTTTACTGTGAATGTAAGTAAAGTGGGTTTATATGTTTAAGTTTTTTTTTTTAATTTGTAAGCATTTGTTATGGTATATTTTGTTATGTATATATTATGTTGGGCACATTAACAAAACAGGATAGGTTAGTTGATGTTAGATGGATTGGATATTTTAGGGTAAGTTAGCCTTATTTTTTCGTAGATTGGTGTGTAATTCGGTGACAATGTTAATTTTTTTTCAAAATATGGCTAACCTAAGCATAATATTGGAAGTAGAAAAAATATCACTTGCCGATTTTTGTGGACATAGAAGCCTTCACAAAACACGAAAAAAATGAAAGCAAAGAAATATCGTATACGAAAATATTCTCGTGAATTTAAAAAGCAAACCTTTTTCCTTTAGAATTTAATTATGTAATTAAATATACAAACCGAGGTTGTTATGATTAATTTTATCAATAATTGTTCACAATAAAAATTAAAGTAACCAAAATAAAGATAATTATGTTTGTCGGCTTACTTGGTCTTAATTATTCTACTCAGTAATAAAAATAAGAACATATGTACGTATATATAGGGCTAGTAGTAAAAAAGTCTATACAGTGGTACATTTTTCCCTCTTTGGAAGGTCTTACCTTCCAATTGGGTAGTTTTCTAGGTCATAAATAAATTTAATTGACGTTTTAATACAATTAAAAAACAACTATACTTTTATTCATCGATAGATTGATACAATAAATTTTAAATATTTTGTAGCTAATTGTCAAGAAATAAGACGAAGCTGTCGCAAAAATACTATGACGTCATAACTCAGTTTTACATATAAATTTCATAGAAAAGTATCGTTTTTGACATTTGGTTACAAGTATTGAATTTGACAAGTTGTAATCTACCGTGTTCTTCGAACTGACAAGCTGTAATTTTTGTGGCAATTAAAACCTGTGGAAGCTGCTATGATATCTTTTGAAGAAGTACGTACTTTAACTTGTCTGTAAATTAAATAAAGCCCCTTCTGATACCTACACATAAACCTCAGTAACCAACCAAAATCGCATACGAAACCCCATCACACGGTGTTTAAGCACTGAAGCCGGGTTTTCCATAACAAATGACAGTCTACATCTTGGAGTAAGCCCGCTGGCTTGTCGTGTTACACGGCTTGCCAACACGAAGCCGATACAGGCATTACATGTCGTGGAACAGTAACAAATGCTGCCATAATAGCTTTATTGACACGGTAATAAAGGCGGAGCTAGTTGTGAAATTGAACGGTGAGTGTGATATGCATTTTCGTTTCTTTTTATATAATACGAGCGACCTGCCCCTATATCGCATGGGTGCAATATTGATACTAAATTTCACCACTATTTAATGGATGGTATTGTACACGTAAACCTTACTTTACAAATTTGTTTTTAACCGACTTCAAAAAAAGGAGGAGGTTCTCAATTCGTCGGTATTATTTTTATACTATGTAGTGATTATTTTAGCTCTCCAGGAGTCTCGTTCCGTACCATCGTCATACAATTTACATTTGAAAATAATATTCTAGTTTAGTTATTTGTAAAATACCAATCAATGTAGCTAGCAACATGTGTCCAAGTGTCTGTACCTACAACATAAAATGTAGTATTTTCGGATTTCTTTAGTTAGATCTTAAATAAGAGTAAAAATTATTTACTAATATATATGTTAAGATTCTTTGATACTTACTTTTACAACCATTTAACATCGTAAAAATCAATAATATTTATGCATAAATTCGAATGTTTCTTGCTCAATAATGGCGACAACATATTACAAGTACATAAGACTTAAAATTGCGTTATAGTTATTTTCCTGTTTGAACCAAACACTTTTTGTCAACAGGATCCAACTTGGTCTTTCCTAAGGCGACGTCTTACTGTACTATTTACAGCAGCTCGACTGAGAAGCCTAAATAGCTTACTATCAGCTAAATCCAATGATTTGGTAAAGAGGATCAGAGAAGACATGGCCAATGAAGATCCTTTGAATTTGAGGGTAAGTGACAAATCAGAATTAAAGCTGAAGATTACTATAATTTATTGCTTTTTGTGCGATGAGTGGCAAACCAGCATTTGGTTTACCTGGTGGAAGGTAATCGGCGTCATTCATGGACAACTGCAACACGTGCAGAGTAGTTACGGGTGCATTGCCGGCCTTTTTGAGATTAAAGTTTTGGAGATTTAAGGACTGATTAGGGTCTGGGTAAGGGGAAGAATTGGGTAACGTCATTCTCATGGCGAAACACACCGCTGTAATTGTTTTTCTGTGCTAAAGTATGGCTGTCCCAAAATTTAACGTCTTGTGGAGAGCTACTTTCATTGCTGAACGTATGGTTATACTGGAATACAATTAAGAATATAAGTTTAGTATTCGAACATGCTAAAGTTGTAGTGATAACCAAATCGTGTCTTTTAAGTCTTCTTTATTCATATCATTCAAATCCCCAGGTTTTATGTTCAGACTTCACAACAGACGTAATCGGAGAAGCTGCGTTTGGCCTCACCAGTGAGTCAGTCAGGACTGGTGACAGTCTGATGAGGCGAATCACCAAGGAGTTTGTAAAGTTCAATCTTCATAGAGGACTATGTTGGTCCAGTATCTTCTTTTTTCCAGAAATGGTGGATGTTTTTAGGTGAGAATACACACGCTTGTTTTTATTAAACATAAACTTACCATTCCCTGGCGCTTACTTTGGATAATATTACGCTCTTCAAAAAAACAACAAAATATTTCAATACATTTTTGACTCATTGTAAAGTGTTAACGTTATTTTATTAAAAACAGACCTAGGTTAGGTTTTTTTTTGGGAGGGGAAAATCATTAAATGACATCTTCCTCCCAGGGAGGGCAACCTAACCTTACTCGCCATCCGCAGACCCGCGCTTACGTTGGTCGGAGATCGTCGCTCGATCCCTGACGTCCGAAGTATCGCCTACTGCGGCTGCTGTGGCGTGAGGAGGAGGATAACTCCTTCACGCGGTCTGCCTCCTTCTTTGCGAGCATAACTGCTTCACAGAAGACCTAGGATAGGTTGGCGTACTGATACTGGTGTTTAGTATGCTTTACACTCGTATAAAATAGAAATAACAACTTATTATATTACATGGTATTCTATACTTTTATCTTTCCCAGGTTTTCTCTGTTCCCAAAAGATTCGGTAGAAGTTTTACGTCATATATTCCGAACTATAATAGACCAAAGAGGGGGTTATGAGAAGAAAGTCAAAGAGTGCAGGGACCTTCTTGATGCTCTGCTGAAGATGAAGCAAGAGGCTGAAGAAGACTATGAAGGTAATGACTTTTTCAGTCGTCATACTTTAACAAGAGACCGGCCATTGGAGTCAGATGTTGTTTCTTAGTCGACTCATTGCTGATACCATAATTTATTATTTGTATTTATTACAACATACGGACCGCCTAGTCAGATTACTTAATTAGGTGCGGATTGAGGTATTTTGAGAATTTGAGATGGTTGAGTTTCTAGTAACCTCAATCACAAAACTTGCGTTTTCTTGTTTAAGTGTGCGGACAATACAAACGTTGTTTCACGCCGATTTTCTGTGAGGCAGTGGTGTCACTCCGGCCAGCCTTCCTGTCCTGAAACATGGCTCTCCCACACGTAAAGATTAAATCTATAATTTGTATTTACAGTCCTATTTGTATGTACAACATAAGTCAGCTGAACTGTATTCTAATTGACGTTTTCTAGAGTAGAGACCACGTCTAGGCAAACGTAGTGTAGGGCGCCCTCCAACTAGGTACACTGACGATATCCCCAAGGTAGCTGGCAGCGATTGGATGAGAAGAGCTGAACATTTTGCTCAGTGGCGTGCAATTGGAGAGGCCTAAATCCAGCAGAGCTGATGATGATTCTAATTGATATTATAAAAAAGATGTCTTCCTAAACTTAGCTTAAATTGTTTCCCAAAATATCTTACAGTTTCACTACAGATTTTACTAACAACTTGAGTTAAACTAACAACTATTAGTAATATACTAACTGTATCTTAGAAAACTAAAGTTTAACTAGAAGGGAAGCGTTCACATGTTAGTTTGAACTCAAAATGACGTTGAAGAACAAGCGTTAACTTTGAACGCGATGAAACTTTGGTTAATTTTAACTTGGCTGTTCTTTCTTCGTATATGTCTATTAAAAATTGAATGAACTGAATTTCTGACAGTTTGTGTTTGTATGCATTCTGCTTTTTGTAGCTTGTCGGCCTTTTAGAGGTTTTTATGGATCTGATAATTGAGGATTTGGTAGTTGGGTACCGGACGTTACAGGAGGACCAATATCAGGTGTCTTGGGCCCCCGGTAATCTCACACACTGAGTCCACAAGTAATTTTATCGCGTCGCTTAGGCCGCGGTGAGGCCGTGATATCATTACGATAATATTGGCCCATTCATGTAGTAGCATAGCTCTTCTACACATAATAATATTTTTTTTGCATTAGTCGACAAACGACAGACGCATTACCTGATGGTAAGCAATCAGCGCCGCCCATGGACACTCGTAGGATATTAGGGATTGTTGTCTTGTGGGATATTAGGGATTTAAGGATGGGGAATTATGGATTGAGAATGGGGGGAGGGAAGAATTAGGCCTTCGTTAAACTCACTCATACGGTAAGTTTTGCTTCACGCCCGGTTTTCTTTAAAGCCTTGGTATCATTTCGGTGGAGTGAGCCCATTAAAAAAAAATATATATTATATCTACCACAACAGTTAGAATTCATAATAAGCTATGTTGCTGACATAGATCCAGTTGTGCCAGCCCTAATTATTTTCAACCCTATCATCAATAATCTACCTATGGTAAGGTTATAATTTGTTTTCAGAGATCAGTGAAGACTTGTTACTTGCTCAAGCCGCCATCTTTCTTCTGGGAGGCTTTGACACTTCAGGAGTAACATTGACGTGGACTTTGTATGAGCTGGCTTGGAACCCGCTGTGTCAGGTAATATACCATGACTAGTTCTTAGAATGTTCAGCTTATTTTATGCTATTATTTATAGACGCACTGTCGGTGTACTTCGATTCCTTTGTCGTTCTTTTGGAGACTGAGGTTTTGGAAATTGGGCCTCAGGTAACCTCAATCCTACGGCGAAACACGCCAGGTCGTTGTTGTGGTTGTTTCACGCCGGTTTTCTGTGACGACGTGGTATCACTACGGTCGAGCCAACCCATTCGAGCTGAAGCACAGCTCTCCCACACTCACTCAATAACTCCAAACACTACAACAAAATAAAATCAATACCTTTAATAAAATGGTTAAAGGGCGAGGTCGGTGTCTGTACATTTGTTTTGATTGATCGGTTGATCAATAAAAAAAAATTGTCAATGTAAATAATAGCATCATCACATCAGACTCAAACTAACCCTCCCAGTCAGCTTTACATTCCTGATGATGATGGTGATGATGGTGGGTGGAAAGGTGAAGGTGAAGGCGAAGGTGAAGGTGAAGGTGAAGGTGAAGGCGAAGGCGAAGGTGAAGGTGAAGGTGAAGGTGAAGGTGAAGGTGAAGGTGAAGGTGAAGGTGAAGGTGAAGGTGAAGGTGAAGGTGAAGGCGAAGGCGAAGGCGAAGGTGAAGGCGAAGGCGAAGGTGAAGGTGAAGGTGAAGGTGAAGGTGAAGGTGAAGGTGAAGGTGAAGGTGAAGGTGAAGGTGAAGGTGAAGGTGAAGGTGAAGGTGAAGGTGAAGGTGAAGGTGAAGGTGAAGGTGAAGGTGAAGGTGAAGGTGAAGGTGAAGGTGAAGGTGAAGGTGAAGGTGAAGGTGAAGGTGAAGGTGAAGGTGAAGTTGAAGGTGAAGGTGAAGGTGAAGGTGAAGGTGAAGGTGAAGGTGAAGGTGAAGGTGAAGGTGAAGGTGAAGGTGAAGGTGAAGGTGAAGGTGAAGGTGAAGGTGAAGGTGAAGGTGAAGGTGAAGGTGAAGGTGAAGGTGAAGGTGTTCATGGCCTGGAGAAATCCCGGCCAAGGCCGCGGTACCTTTTGACCTCTCTACAGATTAAGTACCTATAAGTTATAGAATAGGATTGCCAGCTACTTATAATACATATTGTGACGGAAAAGTGGTTCAAGCTCTTTGACATCATGACGTCAATGGATGGTTGTCAAACGTTGCCTAGAGATTGTAAATTTCGTCGTGAATTGTCAACACGAGTTGGTGTAATCAGTAAGCCGTGTGGATTACACCACAGAGACCCCGAGTTCGAGTCCCGCCGTAAACATGAAGTTTTTTAGTTGATAGAAGTTTTGTCGAACTTTCTGGAATTATTTGGGTGAAAGAAATGAAAAATTAAAGAGCGAGAATAAATAAAAATGAATAACGAAATTATTGGAAGGTTCTGGAGGCATGACGATCAAAAAGAATATCGAAATTGAATGTTCCAGAATCTGACCGGGGGTATATAAGCGGAACTGCGGCTCACCGCTGGCAGTTGAGTTCTAAGTCCAAAGCGATTCGGAAGAAAAGGAAGAAGTGAAAAAGAAGAAAAGTGAGTGAAATAGTAAAGTGCAGTGAAATAGTGAAGTGCAGTGAGTTAAGTGAAAGTCAGCGTGAACTGTGAGCGGCAAACGGAAGTTTGTGTCAGTCGCCAGGACTCTGCTGGAGAGAACGCCGAAAACTTAACTCGGTGGACGCTGTCATTTAAGTGCAATAAAAAGTCTGAAAACCGGTATTAGTGTTTAATTTCATCCAATCCCGTAACCCAAGCCCGCACAGTCAAGAACGTGACGTCAGGCACGTAACAATATGTTTTGTGGTGCGCTAAATAGCAATTAATCGGTTTTTGAGTTGTTTCAATGTGCTGCTGTAAGCTTTTCTCAAAATTCTGTGTTTATTTTATTTCTATCCAATGCTATAAACGCGAAAGTAACTCTGTCATTACCTGATTTAATTTTGAATAAAATTTAGTATACATAGTTTGAAACTCGAGAAGGGCATAGGATAGTTTTATCCCGGGAATTCGGGAGTCCTACGAGATCGACAGCTATATGGGTAAAACCAAAAATCTGCCAGACGTCATTATTTACGCGGACGAAGTCGCTAGCAGAAGCTAGTTTTTAATAAATACATATTTTTATATATTTACTTTTAAATAAAATTTATCCGATATTTTGCAATGCTGTTTTTGGCAGGAGAATCGGGTGTCAGTTTAAAAACAACGTTACTTTCCAACGTAGCCATTAACATATTAATTAATGCTTCGGCATACAAAATTGTGTCGATATATGTATATTATAAATATTAATATAATTAATGTAGAATATAAAGTTGATGCTTGAAGGGGTAGAGGCGTGTCAGTGGTGCCTTGTAGTAGACCATTTTGTTAGGTTTTTTTATATGTGATAGGTCAGCAAATGAGCAGACGGATTACCTGATGGTAAGCAATCGATGCTGCTCATAGACACCCTTAACACCAGAAGAGTTACGAATGCTTAGCCGAGTTTTTGGGGATTAAGATTCCGGAGATCTAGGAATCGGGGAGGGATGGCGGTAGTGAAAGGATTGGGCCTCTGGTAACCTCACGCACATGGCGAAAGACAACGCTGTTTTCTGTGACGCCGTGGTCACTCCTATCAAGCCGACCCATTCATGCTGAAGTTTGGCTCTCTCACACTTACATTTAGTTTGTTATAGATTAAAAGCGAATGGAAATTTACTGCAGACACAGGATCGACCTTAAACAGAAAGAGGTTTTCACTGTGACTTGTATGTATTACCTATGTTTGTTCTCTCGCGATGGAAAGCGATACTGCGTAAAAAAGATTAGATAAAGATAAAAGATAAAGATAAAGATATATTTATTTGCTTAAAACATGTGTAGTTTACAGGAAATGCATCCTAAAGCATCCTTAAGCAGCAGTATTACTACATTAAACGACTTTACATTACAAAAGAGAAATCAGTTTGCAATTATGTGCTTACATTCATTATTGTCCGTGATATCGATCACAGATTTTGGTGTAGGTAGTCTTTTTCGAAGTTTCTTTAAATTGTCTAAAAATAGCCCATTAATTGAATTTTGAGTATCGATTTAGTATTCGAATTGTAGTTCACGATTTTAAATATATGTTGCAGTTTATACATCTCTAATTAATTGTCCTAGAAAAAAAATACATGTCCTAATGTTTAAGAGCACGTATTTATTACCATCTAAAGCTTATAATAATATGAATTTTTCCTAGGAACGATTATATCAAGAACTTTTGGAAGCAAAACAAAAGAACAATGGCAAAGAGTTGGACGCTAGTTCCTTAGCTGAACTTACGTATATCAACTGTGTTATAAAAGGTATGCGCTTACATATTTTTAATTAATTTTTCAATCGTGGTTATTCGAGACACAACAGAGGAACCATATGTGCGCGAACGCTATTGTTCTTCAATACGCCAACGGGTTTGATTATTTGATAGTAGACAGATGAGCTCAAAGTTCAATTCCGAGGCTTTTTAGCAGTAAACTGAATGTAATCATGACTGCACTATTATTGATGCGGTGGCAACCGGCTGTTGTGAAATGTGTGGTGAGTTGATTCCTTCACTGAACAACTTCTTTGTGATCTTCTAATTATTATTTTTTCGAGTCTCGGTGTATCTGCTTGTGACATTTTGTAAACGCTCACACGACATAAGAGAAAAACTTCTAATACCTGTTCAAAAAAGGAAATAAAAATCTACAAGCATCCAAAGGTGCCTAAAATATCATGTATATTCCGTAATTAAAAAGAAATTAGTTCAAAGAGCGAGGCATAAAGACGACGTTTCTATTAAGAACGATAATCGGATACTACATATTTTGCTTCAATACCATTCATTTCTACACAGAGGCACTTCGCAAATTCCCATCAATGGGCTGGCTGGATCGCATTGCATCCCAAGATTACAAGATCGATGAAAATCTAACAATACCAAAGGGCACAGTGGTGTATGTGAACTCAGTGGGCATGCAGCAAGACCCCAAATACTTTCCCAATCCACAAATATACAATCCTGATAGATTCCTCCCGGAAAATGAGAGGAATATCACTCCTTATACATTTTTGCCATTCGGAGACGGACCTAGAGGATGCATTGGTAAGATTTTTTTTAATATTTTTTGTAGGAAAGGATGGCAAACGAAGCTATGATACGAATCACCTGATGGTAAGCAGTCGGCGTCTGGTAATTGCGTTAACGGCCTTTAAGGAAATATGAACGTGATGATGATATTCCTTATATTCTTTATGGGAGTTGAAGGGGGGAAATTGTGCCTCCATTAACCTATCGAAAATCTGAAGCCACGATTTAGTATACTGAGTGGACCTAAGATTTTAATTTTCTTTCCGTGGCTTAAGTCATTATATCTCTTACAATAAATGCACCAAGGAAAGCTGAAAATATTTAGATACTTTTTTTTCTCGTCAAATAATATCCCCTGATTTATTTCTGAAGCGCCGGACTTCAGTGTTATGTTGTTTTCATGGTTGTATATACTGTAGATCCTGGCTTACAGGAGTTGCAGCGGTTTTAGTAGTAGGAAATGGCGGGATTGTGGAAAAAAAAACTTTATTATCAACCCCTATTTCAGGTATCATGGCCATAACTACAATGTGTTTCTTAAACAGCAACGCAACTTAATCGTCTTGTAATAAAGTTCAGAATCAGTCTACCAATACCGATAAGCGTAATTAATTTAACTTTACCACAAAATGTTACAGGTAAACGCTTCGGTTATCAGACTGTTCGGTGTGGTTTGGCGTCCGTCATACTTAATTATGAGATACGAGCTTTACCCAACATGCCGAAGCCAAATGAGTGTCACATTGAGAAGCACGGCCTGTTCCTAGGTCCAGACAAGAAACTGTCTGTAGAATTTAGACCTAGATATCGACATAATGGTCTTTTATACTATGATATGTGAAGCAGAAAATTTCCTGCATATGTTAGGGCTGGGTGATCAGCTTTCATGCAATGTGTCATGTGCCCAGTCCGTTGTGTGATAATAGTTGTTTTTGGAGTTTCTGATGTTTTTTATGTATATACATGTGATATTGTGTTTGTAAACGCACTTTATATATTGGAGAAATTAATTAACCTAGCTATTTTTCAAGTTAAGTCTTTTAAGGCAAGCAAATTGTGTTGTTGTGAATATTTTTGTTAAGTTTTATTAAAATTATTATATAAACACATTATATTTATATTTTTTTAAAATTTCCAAATTACTCATACTATCGCCGATTAAAACAATCCTAAGTGTTTTTTTATGTGTTAGGTTGGCAAACGAGCAGACGGATTACCTAATACTTAAACGACAGATGGTAAGCAATCAGCGCTGCCCATGGACAAACGCAACAACACAGAAGTTACCGAGAGCATTGCCGACCTTTTGGGGATTATTGACTTGGAGATTTATTGAGCCTTCGGTAACCTCACTCACACGGCAAAACACAACGTACCTAAATGTAGTTTCACGCCGGTTTATTGTGAGAATTATGAACTTAAATTTTCATTACCGCGCATCAAATTTGGAAACCTTGCTAGACAGTGAACCCCCACTTTCTCAATGAGCCAGTATAATTTATTAGTAAACAACAAAAAGCGATTCAAATTTTTATAATTCTCATTTTCAATTCATCCTTTGGAAGAATCGGCTTACCGTCAAGCGAATAAAGCGCTCAGGAAAATCGTTTAGAAAACACTTGGATATCTTTCTAATAGCGGATTATGGAAATTACTTCATTTAGAAGTTAGAATATAATTTTAACCAGGTTTAAATAACGGGAACTATTTAAAAACTAGCGGCTTTTTTTCTTCTACTGGCTCCCGCCCGCGGCTTGGCCCGCGTGGTATGTTGATAAAAAGCAGCAGCAGCAGCCTAAGTCTTATTCCGGAGTGTATCCTATGCCTGTGCCAAATTTCATCCAGTTTCGCCTAGCGGTCATACCGTGATTGAGTAACAAACATCCAAGCACTTGTAACTTTCGCATTTGTAAAATTATAGTTAGATTTTTTTGGGACTATTGAATTCGGTTCATGCCATATCATAACTCGTCACACAAATCCTTACATACAAAGCACATAGAGGTGGCATACATTTTTTTATGGAGTAGATTGGCAAACGAGCTGTCACATTACCTGTTCGTAAGCAATCTGCGCCGCCTATATACACCCGTATTACCAAAGGAGTCACGAGTGCATTGCTGGCCTTTTAGGGATAAGGGTTTCAGATGTTTAAGGATTGTGAAGGCCATCCTTCCTAATGAGAGAGAGAGAGAGAGAGAGAGAGAGATTGGTTGCCTCTGGTAACCTCACTCACACGGCGAAACACAACACTGTAGTTGTTTCACGCCGGTTTTCAGTGAGGCCGTGGTATCACTAGCCACTTTGTGCCAAAGCTTGTCTCTCCCACACTTCAAACAAACGTATGACTTTAACTTCCTATTATAGAGCCTGTCAGGTTCAGCTGGGTAGCGGGGGCAAGCACAAAAATTTTCCGCGGCCTCGGCTTAAATCAGGAGGAAGGAACGGAATGGTTTTTAGTCAGTAAGAGTCTGATAATCTCGCCCCACCCGAAGCGGAAAAAAAAAGTATTTTTTTAATTGTGCGACCACGTTTAGCCAAAACAGTTTAACTAACATTACAATAGTGAAAACTAGTTAGTAGTTTGTTTGCAACTCGACGCTGAAAAGGTCACGGAGTCTCGTAATTCAATGAATTTTAGATTATTTTAACCTTCACTGGAATTAACACCGTATTTTTTAAAATATGAATAACTAACTATTCTCGCGCCGTTTCACCCGCAGCTTGGCTCCATTTAATCGTATCGTGTATGTTTTATAGCCTATAGCACTCAGGAATATTGTAGCTATCTATCAGTGAAAGAATTTTGGAAATCCGACCAGCTGTTCCAAAGTTTACCCCCTACATAAAAACTTACAAATTTACAAATTTTACCTCTTTATAATACTAGCTACTCTCACGTGTTTTCATCCGCTGCTTGGCTCCATTTAATCGTAGCGTGATGTTTTATAGCCTATAGCACTCAGGAATATTGTAGCTATCCATGAGGGAAAGAATTTTGGCAATCCGACCAGCGGTTCCAAAGTTTATTTATTTATTTATTTATTTATACTTCATGCACAATTTGTATGCATAAGGCGGACTTAATGCATTGAGCATTCTCTACCAGTCGACCTTTGGGTGATGCAGAGAATCCAGTAGTAGATGCAAGAAGCAAGCGAAATAGAGTAGTATAACATAGGTTTATATAAACATACATAAAGTACAAAAAACTATACTTATATACATATATTTATAAAACACATACTACTTAATATATTTACACATATAAACACATACATACATACATATATATACATAAATGTAGTCATGATCACGATGACTCCCCAACCCTCTCCAGAAGAAGCTCCCGAACTCTCTGCTTGAATGTCAGCCGACTGGTCACAGTCCTGACATCGGGGGGTAGCGCATTCCACAGAAGAATAGACTGAACAAAAAAGGAGGAGTGAAGAAATTTTGAGTGATGAGTTGGACAGTTGAGGAGACGATTATTAGATGAGCGAAGATATTTACTATGGTTTGCGCAGGCGTATTGGAAATAAGGGGACAGATAGGTAGGTAGGCAAGGTGAGTTGAGAAAGGAAAATAGAGTGGTAAGCGCCCTTTGCTCCCTGCGCTGGCGAATGGGCAACCACTTTAATTGCAACCGATGTGCAGAAACATGATCATATTTGCGCAGGTTGAAAACGAAACGAATGCAGTTATTCAGAAGTCGGTCAAGTTTGTTGAGGAGATCTGCATTCAGGTCATAGTAACAAACATCAGCATAATCTATTATAGGGAACAACAAGGCCTGCACAAGCATCGACTTGGTGACGGACGGAAGCAAGTTTTTCACGCGATAAAGGGCCCGCAGCGAACCGGTCACTGTTTTGCACACGCTAGTGACTTGTGTATTTCAGTTTAAATTCTTGTCAATGTGTAAGCCTAGGTCTTTAACGTCACTGCTGAAAGGAACGATCGCACCGTCGAAAAGGACAGCTGGCAGAGATGCACTGTCAACCCTACCTAGAGATCGAGAGCTACCGATGACGATAGCTTGGCACTTGTTCGTGTTTACCGCAATGCCAAACCGTACAGACCAGTTCTTGATGGTAGTTAAATCATCGTTTAGTTTTGAGATGGCATTGGGCAAGCTGTCTAAGCCAGCCTGACAGTATAGCTGCAAGTCATCCGCATACAGATGGTACGCACACCGAAGGTCAGAAGTGATAAGATTGATAAAAATGGAAAACAAGAGAGGTGATAGTATGCCGCCTTGAGGAACGCCAGCTTTTAATTCGCGCCAACCTGATGACATATCACCATGCTTGACCGACTGCTGGCGCTCCTGAAGATAAGAGGAGAACCATTCCAGTGACTCGCCAGAGATCGTAAGATGGGATAGGATGGCTAATAGGATATCGTGACTGACCATATTGAAGGCATTCGAGAAGTCTACCAAGACCAGGACTGTGGCTTTAGTGTCCTCAAGGCCAGCTCTAATATCGCCAGTCACTTTAAGGAGGGCAGAAACAGTGCTGTGGCCCGGTCTGAAGCCCGATTGGAATGGACTGACTAGTGAATTCCTGTAAATGAAAGTAGAAAGTTGTTTGTGGACACAGGCCTCAAGCACCTTGGACAGGAAAGGAAGTATGGATATCGGACGGAATTGACTAGGAAGAGTGGGAGAAGAGACTTTCGGAAGTGGACGGACAAAGGCTTTACGCTAAAGTTTACCCCCTAGGTACATAAAAACTTACAAATTTTACCTCTTTATAATACTAGCTACTCTCACGTGTTTTCATCCGCTGCTCGGCTCCATTTAATCGTAGCGTGATGTTTTATAGCCTAAAGCACTCAGGAATATTGTAGCTATCTATCAGGAAAAGAATTTTGGCAATCCGACCAGCGGTTCCAAACATTACCCCCTACATACAAACTTACATATTTTACCTCTTTATAATATAAGTATAGATATACCTTTTGTTACAATTGGGTGTAAAAACTATTTACTTACCGCCTCCTTGATCCAGCTAGGGGTTTCGATTTCGAATCCTCAATTGGGCATAGATTTTTTTGTTTTTATATGTAGAAGGACCACTCTAACTGTTGAATATATAATCTGACTAATACTTGCGTTGAGATCTCAACTCTAGTGGCCAAGGCTCCGCTACCACCGATACTCAGATAGGGCAGAGGATAGTAGTGTTAAAATGCACCATTTGAAAGAGCGAGTAAAAATCTTACATCTACTTATTGGGTGTACCTTGGTGTCAGTCATTTCTTTTTTCATTAAAACCTTCTCCTAACAATAAGAAATACAACAAAACGGATTGTCAATATTGGTCTTGTCACTACTTGACACTGGCAGTATAGTCGACAACCACTCGACAACATTAAATTGGAGAAGCGGTTTGCCACTCAAGAAAGAAAAATAAAAAAAATAGTCTAAGCGTTATTGAATAATGCGCTTATTAACACATCGTACGCATAATAGAAAAGAGGCCTAACCAAAAAAAATATATATATTTTTTAATTTAAAAGTTATGTTTTAATGATGAGGTTCAATTTTGAAGTACCCTCCTTTATGAATTAGTTCTGTTTTCTTTTAAACATACGACATGTTGCCATACTTTTTATATATAAATAAAATAAATTGTAAGGCAACAAAATTAAAGTCAGCCAATGTATATGCCAATATTGCCATCGAAAGGTAAATAAAATAGAACAAAATTAAAACAATAGTCACACAATGCCGCGGTCAATTAATTGGAAAGTTGGTTGCAAAGTTTGTAGTGCAAATATTTTTATTGAGCCAAATTTTCATTAAGTTGAGATCACTCGTTCAAATGAATTTTT